ATCTGAGCATGGATATAAAATCATCAGGTAGATTTCAATGGTAATGTTTTTCACATCTACTAATTATTAAGGAGCAAATTTTTTTGCTTTGAAGAATTACTATTTTTTTAATTTTTAATAACTACATGATCAGAAGAAGCATTTGACTACAGCTTTAACCGATTATGACTAGTAATAGATACATACAGATTAGAGATGCAAGCGCCAATATCGTAGTGTTAGTAGCAAAAACAATGAGTCTTTCTGCAAGGAACAATATATTCTAAAATGAAATGGAGATCTTTTTTAAAGGTTAAAAGCTCATCTAGGCCGGTTGTGGTGGCATACGCCTTTAGTCCCAGTACATGGGAGGCAGAGGCAGGCAGATCTCTGTGAGTTCAAGGCCAGCCTGGTCTACATAGCGAGTTCAGGTCAACTGGGACTACAGGGAGACCCTGTCTCAAAAAGAACCCCTCCCCCCAGAAAAATCCAATTTTATGTTTTACAGGGTTTATACTGAGTTCAATAATACATAACTGTATTAATTCAACTGTGAACCTAGAAATTTGCACCCACTTGTGAAAGAGATGTACTCTTGCTCTAGAGTGTGTTACTTGAATATGTTTTTTTTTCTTTTTGGTCTTTTTAAGACAAGGTTTCCCTGTAGCCGTAGTTGGCCTGGATTCGCTAATGGGGACCAGGCTGGCCTCAAACTCACAGAGCTATGACTGCCTCTGCCTCCCGAGTGCTGGGATTAAAGGTGTGCGACACCACGCCCGGCTAAAAGTTGTTCTTTTTACAAAGTAAAATTCTATTGAAAGTCCGTACGTTTAGGTCTATAAACAATAAAATTTGAAAGATCAGTATTTTGTAGTTGTCATAGTAATACTTTATCAATGGGATTTGAAGAACTGATACATTGGCTGTAGCTCAGGAGTATAGTATATGCCTGGTATCTTGCGCTTTGGGTGTGATTCCAAGCCCTGCAAAAAAAGGAAAGAACAAGATGTTTACCTAATTTCAAAGTCTCTCCCCACAGAAGACTTACTTCTAAAGGGAACTGTGGGAAAATTAAAGTGGAGAAACTAGGATCCCCACCTTGCCTTGGGTGATCATCTCCTGACTTGACATACCTAGAAATGCAGAAACTAACCCCCATTCTTGTTTTTTTTTTTTTGAGACAGGATCTCCCTGCATCCCCAAGCTGGTTGTAGACCAGGCTGACCTCAATCTCACAGATATCTACCTGCCTCTGCCTCCCCGAATCCTGGATTAAAGGCATGTACCACCAGACCTGGCTCTATTTGGGGGATTTTAAAATTTTATGTGTATGAGTGTTATGCCTGCATGTATGTAAGTGCACCCATGTTGTACAATGCCCACAGAGGATAGAGGAGGGTGTTGGATCCCCTGGAACTGGACTTACGAACAGTTGTTAGCTGCCATGTGGGTACTGAAATTCGAACCCAGGTCTTCTGCAAGAGCAGCCAGTTCTCTTAACTGCTGAGCCATCTCTTCAGGCCCTGGAATTTTATAAAAATTTTTTCAAAAAATATTAGGAAAAGCCAGGTGTGGTGGCACATGCCTTTAATCCCAGCACTCGGGAGGCAGAGGCAGGCAGATCTTTGTGAGTTCGAGGACAGCTGGGGCTACAGGGAGACCCTGTCTCAAAAAAAAAAAAAAAAAAAAAAGGAACATGAAAGTTAAAAAATGATTAAGGAACAATTCCAGATTGAGGTGACTAAAGAGACATGACAAATAACTGGAATGCCATAAATTCCATCCTGCACTGGAGCTTGCATCATGATAAAAATTGGGATAATTGTTAAAGTCTGAATGTTAACTATATTCCAGTCCAATCATAATACTATGTGAATATTACATTTTCTGAATATGATAATTGTCCAGTGATTGCAGAAGAGAATGCCCTTGTTTGTAAAGTATACATTGCAAAATTTTAGGATTCAGGAGTATCATGATAGAAACACACAAAACAAGCACATGGGGGAGCTTGTTAATTGGGGAATCTGGGTGAAGGGTATACAAGAGTCATACTAATCTTGCAACTCTCAGGTTAGAAATTATTTCAAAATGATTTTTCTTGAAACTTAACATCTCAGAGGAATTCCTAAATGCTGTAATGAGTAGAGTACTACTTTCATGATTAAAATAGTATAATGGGTTCAAAGTCTCTTGGGTAACTAGATCTTCCTTTTATTCCTTTTCTTCTACTTGCATTTTTATTAGGTACCTGTTAAGAGAGCAGCCAGAATTTAGTGGGTAGACACTTTTAAATAGAAAGCTAGAAACAAGATTTAGTATGGATTTTTTTGTTTTGTTTTTTTGGTTGTTGTTGCTTTTTTTTTTTTCCCCTATGAGCGTTTTTGCCTTCATTTATGTATGTACACCAGATACATACATGGTGCCTGCAGAGGCCAGAAAAGGTCATTGGATCCCCTGGACCTGGAGTTACAGTGTGGGTGCTAGACACTGAACTCTGGTCCTCTATAAGAGCAGCAAGTTAACTGTTTGGCCATCTCGCTCCAGCTCTTTGGTTGGTATTTTTGAGAAAGGGTCTTCTGTATCCTAGACTGACCTGTTTAGCTAAGAATGACTTTGAACTTTTTGATCTTCCTCCCTCCACCTCCTTGACCCAGGGATTTGTTTTTGCCAGGCAAGCACTCTACCAACTGAACTACATTCCCAGCCCCTTGTTTGTGAAACAGAACTTAAGTAGCCCAAGCTGGCCTTGGGCTTACTATGAAGCAGAGATTGGCTGTTGACTCTTGGGTCCTCCCTTTCTACCTTTTGAATGCTGCAGTTACGTGACTAGTCTTGTATGTATGTCTTCTTTAAATGTTTACTTAACAGCAAAATGGTTTGGGCCAGTAAGAATTTTAAAATGAATTTAGGTTCTTTAATAAATATAAGAACTATTGAAGACTGGGCACAGTGGCACAGGGCTTTAATCCCAGCACTCAGGAGGCAGAGGCAGGGGGATCTCTGTGAGTTCCTGGTCTACATAGTGAGTTCCTGACCAGCTAGGGCCACAGGGAGACCCTATCTCAAAAAAGAAGAACTATTCAAGTTATCTACTTTTTCTACTGTAAGTTTGATAGTTGTCAGGCCAGGTGGGGCTACAGGGAGACCCTGTCTCAAAAAAAAATAAAATAAAAGTTTGATAGTTGTGAAATTTCTTGAGAAAACATTGTTTATAAATATTTTGGGGGACTGGGGAAATGGCTAAATAGCATGCAAGAAGCCTAGCATGGACGGTGCCCTAGATTCACTCCCCAGCACCAAACAGCATTATGGCCCATTCCTATAGTCCCAACACTTGGAGGTAGAAGCAAGAGAATCAGAAGTTCAGCATCATCCTAGGCTACACAGAAACTTTTTTTTTTTTTATCTTTTTGAGCCAGGATCTCCCTGTAGCCCCAGCTGTCCTGGAATTCTATGTACACCAGGCTGGCCTTGAATTTACAGAGATCCGACTGCCTCTGCCTCCCAAGTGCTGGGATTAAAGGCGTGTGCCACCATGCCCGGCCATATGGAAACTTTGGGGGTAGCTGGAATGTTTGTCTCTGTCTCTGTCTCTTGCTCTCTCTCCACATATAAACTCATCCATCTTTTCTATCCTCTTTTTCACCTCATCTTCTTCCTCTTCACCAGCTCACCTCTTTTCATGTCTGTAGAATCTGTACTGGTGTTTCCTCTTTCAATTTTATGGTAATTTATGTCCTTTTAAAATTTTTTAAAAAGATATTTTAGTTTTACTTACACCTCTTGGTTTCATTATTTTTCATAGCTTTCCTGTTTTCTCGTTCATTGATTTCTATTTATTGTTAATTTGCTTTGCAAACCCTTCATCCTCAGTCTTACCGACTCAGCAAGATTGTTGGGTTTGCTTTTTCTTCACTGCAGCTGACAGTTTGCTTTTAGCAGTTCTGGCTATTGTAGAATTTACTTTCTATAATTTCCATTTCTGTGTGTTGCCTTGTGTCTGAAAAAGTCATGTCTTGTGTTTTCTTCGGTGTCCTTATTGTTTATGATGGAAGAACAAGTCCCATACTAGTTAATTCTGCATTGGCTCAAGCACAAGTCATATGTACATTTTCTATTTTGCAAGCTTATGTTTGCTGCAAGGCAGCAGTTCATAGTACAAGTTCAGACAGGATTTTACACATTTTCTTAATATGGTACAAAGGGTATTTGTGTGCCTTTTTGCTCTTTATTGACTAATGTCTGCCCTAAAACTAAATGGCCTTCATTCTGAGCAAGAAGTACAGACAAGACCTGTCTTCATTCTCTTTCCAAGTGCATAGAGCCTTGAAGCATTGGAAAACTAAGTAGATTTTTACATTTTTTATTTAAATTTTAAAATTAATAAAATTTTAATTATTTTATATGTGTGTTTTGCCTGTCTGTATGTAAGTATACCACAAGAAGAAAGTATTGGATCCCCTGAAACTGGAGTTGGCAGCCATGTCAGTGCTGAGACCCAAACCCAGGCCCTCTGCATGAGCAGCTAGTGCTCTTAAATGCTGAGCCATCTCTTCAGCCCCTAGTTTTAAATTTAAAAAATTATTGAATTATTATTACTGGGTATGGTGGCACACATCTTTAACCCCCCCAGCACTTGGGAGGCAGGGGTAGATGGATCTCTGTGAGAACAAGGCCAGCCTGATCTACATAGCAAGTTCCAGGTCAGCTGGGGCTACAGGGAGACCCTGTCTCAAAAAGAAAAGAAACAAAAACAATCAATTTATTATTATTGTGTGTGTGATGATCTATGTGTGCCAATGTTCATGTGTGGATGTCAGACGACAAACCCCTCTCTTTCAATTTTTTATGGGTTCTAGGAACGAGCTCAAGTCATCACACTTGGCAGTACGCACCTTTACCTATTGAGCCATCTTGTTGGCTCAGACTTTAAGTTACCGTGGGCTTGTTTTCCATTTTGAGATTCAGTCTTTGTCTAAATGAATCATGTGCAGTTTTTATTATTACTTAAAACTTAATTCAGTATTTGTCTGCTGTTTTCATCTTATTCAGTTGAATAATACTCACTTGAATGATGCTTATAAACAGTCTTCGTTTGTCTGATGTTTTTCCCAGGTGGTATAGCTGTATGCTGGGAAAGAAATGCAGTCTGGCTCCGCTGAAGGAAGAGCTTCGCATCCAAGGGGTAAGGCTTTGCCATTGCTGTTCAAGTTTGTCTTCTTAGGATGGTAGTTTGAGCATAGCAGTTTTCTTTATATTTTTTAAATTTCTATAATTTTATGGCTCTAAGGATTATTACATATTATTAAAATAAGGCCTTCATCAGCAGTTATAGATGGGTTAAAAACAGGATAAATAAAATATCAGAGAAACAGACATCAAAAATCCCGGTATCTGTCATCTGACTCTAGATGCAAAAACTAAAGACCAGGTAGGTTAAAAGCTTTGTACTAGGCTATATAACTAGTATTGTAGGACAGATAGAACTAGAATATAGCCTTAGGCTGCTGTGCTTCCCATTGAGGTGGCAAAGCATACCAGCACAGCCCCGTGTTCCTGTTGTGAAAGGCAAAGTGAAAGTAGGCATCATCCCAGTGTATGTGGTTTGATATGAGTGAAAGGGGCCAGACATGGGATCATAGTTATAGTAAACAAGTTTATGTTTCTTTTCTAGCAGTTTTGCAATGGATAGAAGAACCCAGGACCTAGTGTATGAAAGTCAAACACTCTTACCGCCTCCCACCCCCCAACCCCTCACCTGAAACCAAGTTTCGAATCTGGTTTTCACAGTCTCTTTACCCTGTTTCTCCCATATCGCTGTTTCTTGATAATTTTTTTTTTTTAAAACTACAAAGTAGTTCTTTTTCCTTTACATAACTGTGTATAATCAAATTTTGATTGGCTCTCTTCCTTGTGATAGAGTGCTTGCCTGGCATGCACAAGGCCCTGAATTCAATCACCAGTGCTGCTGGGCATGTACGCAACCTGTAATCCCAACACTTGGAAGGAGGCCAGAGAATCAGGTCTTTAAGGCCAGTCTGGGCAACATAGCCAGATCCTGTGTCAAAGAAACAAAAAAACCCAAAAACTACTTAAGTCATTTTACAAATGACTCTGCAAAGAGCTGTTTTAGGTATTTCTTCTATTAACCTTTGAGAAATCTATAAGTTCTACTATTTTGTGGGAGGAAAAATTTAATTATCAGACAGCTGTGTAACTGGTTTTTGGATGGTAATGTTTGTTAACCTCTTAAAAAGAAGGAGCAACAGAAAATAGGTCACAGCCAGAAACATTAGTAGAAAGACTTGAGTTCAAAGTTGAACTTGATGGCATGCACTTAAAATCTCAGCATTTAGGACACAGAGGCAGGAAGATTAGCAGTTCAAGGCCATCTTCAGCTGCATGAGACCCTGACTCAGAAAACTTCCAATGAAGATGCTGTGTTTATGTTTCAGGTTCCTAAAGTCACCTACACTGAGTTTTGTCAAGGTCGGACAATGAGATGGGCCTTAGCTTGGAGTTTTTATGATGATGTCACAGTACCAGTAAGTAAAGACTTTGCTTTGGCTTCCCAGATGCCAGCACATGGTGGTTTTAGTCGATCATAAATTAACTAAATCTGTATTATCCCATTTCCCTGAAGTTTGTCTCCAAATGTTTATGGCAAAATGGAAAGGAAAGTGGTTGTAAACAAAACATGGCCCTAGCTGTCTGTAGAGTCTTCCTCTATGGGTTTTTGTGCAACACAGTGATTCTTATTTTAACAAATACATCTTTTTAGGTATTAACAGTGCAGGTAGCAGAGGCTGTAGGCGCACCTGGCCAGTATAATTATTCTGTTGAACATTCTTTAGGAATTGAAACTGAGGTCTGTTTCTTTGCCTTTACCATTGCTGCTTTCCTTGGGAAGCTCCTCCTAAGCATTTGAGTTGCCATTCTGGCTGCAATCGTTTTTCTTTCTCGTTCTGTTTTTTCAATGCTGGGGTTTAAATCTAGCATCTCAAGCATTGTAGGCAAGTGCTGTACCCTTGAACTATACTCCAAGCCCCATGGTTGTATCCTTTTCATATGTAACACTTAGGGATTATGCTGCTCTCTTAGAGGGTTCTCTTAGAGGCTCACTGTTTACAAATACCACTAAAGGGTAAACATGGTGGCATGTGCCTATAATCAAAGTACTTGGGACAGAGACAGGAATATTATGAGTTTGAGGCAAGCTGTATAGTGAGATTCTGTCTCAAAAAAAATTGACCAGACTGAATGATTTTCTGAGCCACACTGGTGATGGTGATAAAACAGCACTTGTTTGTTCTCACATGTCCCAGCAAGAGGGGTTGACTTCTTATTACCTAGAGCTGTGCATCTTAGGCTGTGCCCAGCTGCTCAGCTCACTTTGTTCCCATAGTATATATGGAGGCTGTTACTGGCTCCTTCATGTCGCCATCCCAGGTCCATACATACAGCAGGCTTATTCTGGAGGCTCCTCTTGGCCATTCTTGGTCTCTAAAGCTATTATATTTTAGATGTTGCTGTCTCTGAGTCTCTCTCTGTTGCTATATGGCAGGGAAGTAGATGGGTGTGGAAGTACCAAAGACGATTTGCAGGTGTTACCATGTTTCTGAAAATGTGAACTCAGATTTGAAACCGAACCTGTCTTTACTCCATTCTGCAACTGGATGTGCTACAGGATTGAAATTGCCTCCTTTTTGAATGGCCTTTCCTGCGGAAGCCTCCACTTGATTCTGAACTGTGCAGTAGGGTACCTAGAGGTTAATTTTGGAATTAATCACTAGTTACAAAGATGCCTCTGCCTTTCTCAGTCTTCCCTCCCCTGAATATTACCCTATTGTTTTCTAGACTACTAGGACCTTCATAGCAGATGGTTAAAATCATTAGCAGTACCCTAAGTTATCCCTGTGCAGCACAAACAGCTTTGGGAAATAGAAGTAGCACCTGGTTCCAAGCGCTTTCTGCTTAGTCTGCTGCCCACATTGCCTGCTTCACAGGTGGGAAGAGCTTTTATATTCTCTACACCAGATAAGAGACATTTTCCCTTGCCCCCTTAGGTATGTGCATCATCTCAGACCCTAGTATCAAAGGGCACTATGTCTCTATGTATAAAATCAGCTTATTTTGAAAAGGGATCTGTGAGCCTCTTTCCCTCCTTTTTAGGATACCCTGTAGCTCTCTCCAACCATCTTGGCTTCTTGCCAAGAGCTTCAGAGTTCCTCCTATGCTAGAGAATCCCTCCCTCCCTGCCCTGCCACCATCCCTAAGCTGTTAATAATGCATTCCCAAGTATTTCATTAGATACACTTAAACTGCTAGGGGGAAAATAGCAATTTCTGATTTGTAGTAACCCAGCAACAGTTTGTTAGCACTGGTGCCCTTACCAATGACTCCTTTCCCTGGGGGTAGTCCCAGATTACTTCTGAGATTTTGGTTTGACATTCTTCATGGTTTCCCCCTTCCCTCTTCCTAGACCTTTCCCCAATTGCTGTTTTTTTTTTAAAAGCTCACTGACTTCCCTCTTTTGCTTCTGTTGGGGATGGGAAAAGGAAAAGGAGTTTCAGCCAAGGAGAGAGATACAGAATACACCTAGTTAAGCAGAAATATTGACCTGCTTCTCCACCCCCATCCCTGCCATTTTAGGGTAGATGTGCAAGTTACTATGGCAACTTGTGTTTTCACTTATCTCAGGCCTACTGACTTGTTTCTGTTGGTGCTGAATGCTGAAAATTCTAATTCACTGGTGACTCAAGTGCCTACCCTATGCCCACTGCTCTTGTCAAGATTTATTTTAGCAACAAAAAGGCAGTCCTAATGTTGATAGAATTTCTGTGCCATTATTTCTGAGTGATGTTGAACATGGGGAAGCAGATTGTAAGGTCTGATCTTTGTATGATTCTAACAAGCTACTTAGTAGCTTCTTTGTCCCAATTTCCTAATTACTCAAGGTAGTGTTTTAGATTTGATTTGCTTTTAAGAAGTTTGACATTTGTTAAAACAACAAAGGCAGAGGGTAACACATAGCTCTAGTAAATTGTATACTCTTTATGTGAGCATTGCCCAGGAACCCTGGTTTAAAAAGTATTCACCAGACTGGAAAGATGGCTCAGTGATTAAGAGTACTTACTGCTTTTCAAGAGGACCCTGGTTCAGTTCCTAGCACCCACATGGTGGTTAACACCTGTCCTGGACTCCAGTTTCAAGGGATCCAGTGCCTTCTGGCCTCCACAGGCACTAGTCATCCCTATGATGTTTGTTTAACATTTTTATTTTAAATGAATTCTTTCCACCATGTAGGTCCCAGGAATTGAACTCAAGTGGTCAGGCTTGGTGGGAGGCACCTTTACCCAGTGGGCCATCTCTTTGGGCCCCTCCATAAATTTTCAAACAAGTTGAGGAATTCCATATACCTTTTTCAGGGTTGACAGTTGGAGGCAAACATCAAGTTGGTATTTACTCTTTGACCTTTTTTTTTTTTTTTTTTTTTTTTTTTTAATCAGTTTTAGATGTTGATTTTATTTATTTAGGGAATTCAGTTGCTAAGAAATAGTTGGGGAGGTGGAGGTATACCACAGTGGAAGAATGTGTGCTTAGCATATGTGAGGCCTGGATTTAATCCCTGCCTAAAAGTAGTTTGGTTTGGTTTGGTATTGTTTGATTTTGTTTTAGACAGGATCTCACTATGTGCCCTGGCTGGCCTAGAACTTGCTATGTAGATGAGGCTAGCCTTGAACTTAAAGTAGTCTTCCTGCCTCTGGCTTCTGAGTGCTGAGATTATAAGCGAGTACCTCCACACCCCCGTTTAAAATAGTTTGGAAACCAGTATACCATGCAGTACATTAATGTACAAAATAGATATGATAGTTAGGAATCTGCGCTTCGAGCAAAATCAAAGAATGATCTTCACTGTGATAATAACAAATAAAAACCTTTTTTCAGTTCCTTGAATTCATTAGTTTTGTGGGAAAGAAAAACCTATCTGAAACAATTTATTTAAAATTGTAAATGAATTAAGTGCCGAAATGAATGGTAGAGACAAGTAGTCAGGAATTCTGAAAAGAAATAGTTAAGGCTGAACTGCTTAGAGATGACTTTAGGGACAAAAGTTTCATAGGTTGTTGGTTCTTAGTAAATATTTGTTGAATGTTTAAAGGAATGACATAGGACTCATATTGAAGTACATCGCTGTGAGTAGGACAGCAATAGGCTTGGGAGGTTTGAGATGCTGGATATGATCGTTGTTATTTGAATACACATACTTTTTATTTTAAGACAGGGTCTCACTATGTGCCCTGACTGGCCTAGAACTCAACAGAGATCCCTCGGCCTCTGCCTCCGGAGTGCTAGAATTAAGTTGTGTGCCATGCCCAGCAATATACACATACTGTCTCCTTTTATTTAAACCTCTAGCAGTTGAATAGAACGGATGATATTATCCCTCAGAGGCTTCAGAAAAGTCAGCCCAAACCTTAGTCACTTTAACATTCTGTTTACCAAGTCTTTTCCATAGCCTAGCCACAGTAACCTATCCCTGCAAGTCCTTATCATCTTGCATAGGAACCGCCCTCACAGCCTGTCTTCGAGAGGATTAGAGTCACCCTAAGTCCACCATTCTGGTCAAAAACTTCCAGGTGGTCCAGGTGCCTTTTACTAGTGGGATGACGAGACTCATTTGGTTCTATGGGTCTGTTCATCACTTTCTCTTCCATCCTAATCACTCTGTTTTCCTGGCTGTATTTCTACCATACTGGCCTGCACAAACTTCTGGTGCCACTTTGACCTGACTGCCTTCTCACAGGCTTGCTTCCACTGCATCTCAGCTCAGTTCCAACTTCATAAGCTTTCTTAACCATTCAGCCCATAGGCATCTCTCTTTTCCTCTCTGGATATTATCTTTTTTTTTTT